CCAATGAGATATTTCACATTGTTTTCTAATTTTTTATTCTTTTGGATTTGTTTTACAGTGTCTTGATTTCTCATAAAGTCACTAGCTTCCAATTGCTCTATTCTAATTTTTAAGGAAGTATTTTCTTCAGTAATCTTTTGGACTTCCTTTTCCATTTGGCCAATTTTGCTTTTTAGGGCATTCTTCTCCTCATTGGCTTTTTGGACCTCTTTTGCCATTGGGGTTAGGCTATTTTTTAAGGTGTTATTTTCTTCAGTATTTTTTTGGGTCTCCTTTAGCAAGCTGTTGACTTGTTTTTCATGATTTTCTTGCATCACTCTCAGTTTTTCCTCTACTTCTCTTACATGCTTCTCAAAATCCCTTTTGAGCTCTTCCAAGGCCTGGGACTGATTCATATTTTTCTTGGAGGCTTTGGATGTAGGAGCTTTGGCTTTGTTGTCTTCTTCTGGTTGCATGCTTTGATATTCTTTGTCACCAAAGTAAGATAGTATAGTCTGACTCTTCTTGCGCTGCTTACTCATGATCCTGGCCAATTACTTGAGTTTTAAACTCTTTGTTAAGGCAAAAGTCTGCTTCCAATGTGAAGAGTGTACTGTCCCAAGCTTAGGAGGTTTGTACAGCTGTTTTCAGAGCTACTTCTAGGGACCTGAAAATTTTCAGGTCTTCCAAGGTGCTATGATAAGGGGCGAGGTGTTTTCTCTCCACCACCACAACAAGCTCCACCAGGCCAGCACTCCTCGTCGCCCCAGGATCACCCGTCAGAACTGTGACCCAGATCCAAGCACGGGTAAAGCAAGAGATTCCTGCCTCAGCACTGGCAAAGAGATCCCTGCAATCCCCTTCTGATCAGCCACTTGATTTCCCCTCAGTCTGTGGGTCACAAGCTCAGGGAACAGCTGCGGCCCCTAGGGGCGGCTGAGACCCAGCTCCTTCTCTCACCGCAGTCACAGACTTTTCCCACTGACCTTCCAAGTTGTCTTTGGTGTTTGTTGGTTGAGAAATCTAGAAACCGCCACAGCTGCCTGCGATTCAGTCCTCTGAGGCCTGCTCCAGGGTCGCTGTGGCCTGCGCACCCATACTGAACCTCGCTCCTTTCTCAGCCCAGAGTGATATACCTTTCCGATCAGCCATCCAGGTTGTCTTTGGCTGGAAATTTGTTTTGCTCTGTCTTTTTGTGGGTTCTGCTGCTTTAGAATTTGTTTAGAGTCATTTTTTATAGATATTTGGAGGGGTTTGGGGGGAGAGCTCACTGCTTTCCCTCCACCATCTTGGCTCCGCCTCTTATTTTCCTCAACAATAATGGTACCGCCCTCACAGTGGCATTATGAGGATAAATTGAGATAATATTTGTAAAGCAGAGATAATAAATTCAATTTTGAAAACATTGCGGTTGGTATTTCTCTAGGACGTTCAGTTTCAAATGTCTAATAGACAATTTTGATTCAGGACTAAATCAGTCTTGGGGGAGACTAGGGCTCTCTATATAGATCTAGGAATTGTCTTCATAGAAATGGTAACTGAATTCATGGAAGCTGATTGTGTTGCAGAGAGAAAGAAGGGGGGAGAAAGAGAGAGATACAGAGAAGAGAAAGAGAAGAGAGAAAAAAGAGGAGGGGAAAAAATAGAGAGAAGAGAGAGGAAGAAGAGAGGACAGAGGAAAGATGGAGAAATAGAGAAAGAGATGGGGGAGAGAGAGAGAGAGAGACAGAGAGACAGAGAGAGAGACACAGAGAGAGGATAGGAGAAGAGAAAAAAGACAAAAGAGAGAGGAGAAAGAGAAAGGAAGAGAAAGAAAATAAAGAGGAGACAGAAAGAGACCAAAGAGAGAAGAGAGAAAGAGGACAGAGTAGAGACAGAGAAATAAAGAGGTAGAGAAAGAGAGAAAGAGAGAGAGAGAAGAAAAAAGATGAAAGGGAGAAGACAGAAAGAAAAAGGGAGAGAGAAAAGAGAGGAGAGAGAAAGAGAGAGGAAAGAGAGAGGACAGAGAAATAGAGAAAGAAGTGGAGAGAGAAAGAAAGAGAGGGAGGAAAAGGACAGATGGGAGACATAGATAGAGAAAGAGGAGGGGAGAGCGAAAGAGAGAGACACATAGAGACACAGAGAGAGTACATGTATAGAGTACAAAAAGAGAAAAGTGCTTAGGATAGGTTCTTCAGGGATACTGCCAATTAGGAGCCATGATGTAGATGATATGCCAGCTAAGGGGACAGGAAAGGAGTGGCCATACAGGTAGACAGAGAGCCAGGAGACAGTAGTATCCCAAAAGCCCAGAGAGGAAAGGAGACGGTGGTCAATAGTATCAAATGCAGCAAGAAGGGCAAGTAGGATGAGGGCTGAGAAAAGACTGTTACATTTGGTGATTAGAAGATCATTGGTAATTTCAGAGAGGGCCCTTCCAGTTGGATGATGTGATCAGAAGCCAAATTGCAAAGAGGAGAAGTGAGGGAGAGAAGAGAGAAAGGAAGCAAGTACAGGCAACTTAGAGCTTAGCTGAGAAAAAGGACAATACAGAGCTATATGACAATAACTTGATGGATTGCTAGTGTCTAGGGAAGGGGTATTTTTTTGAGGATGAGTTGATGTGGGCTTGACTAAAGACCATAAGAAAGGAACCAGCTGATAGGGAGAGGATGAAGACTAGAAAGAGTTGAGGATGCAATCTACAGGAGAGGACAGGAGGGCACAGGATCAAGCAGAAGTATAGAGAGTCATTTTAACAAGAAATGATACCTTGTTGTCAGAATGGGGCAAAGGAGGAGAGAGTGGATACGGGGTGCCCTCAAAAGACTCCGAGTTAAACAGAAGGGAAGATGAGCAAGCTATGTCCAACAGCTTCAATGTCTTCAGAAAAGTAAGAAGACAAGGTCTCTCAGCCGAGAAAGGAGGGAAGGTAGGAAGAAGTGTGGGATTGAGGAGGAAAGAGACAGTCTGGAATAGCTTCTGTGAGGACTGAGATAGGGAATCAATTCAGGAGGAAAAACAGGCTTGCCTTGCTGTAGGAAGGACTCCAATGAAGTTGGACACAATGAATTGATAATGTACCCAGTCAGAATAGTTGTCTGAATATAATCATGGCACACTGTTGGATTCTGTTGAGCTTCAATAGATGGCTTTGCATTGCTACAGTCCTTTGATTTAGGCCTAATAGACGTGAATTTTTTGTTTTAAGTATTTTCAAACTAAAATCAGCTCTCCTTTTGTCTCTAAATGGATTTACTCCCCATTGGGTTACTGACCCCTAATCCCAGAGTTGAGCCAGAAGGGGGTCTAGGCCAAACAGAGAAAAGATAAATGAGCCTGAAGATGGGCTTTCCTTTGGGGGGCTAATTAACACAAATGCTGTTTACAATCTGGACATGTACTCCACCTAAATAATTACTTTGTTGACATCCCACACCCCCTAATTAGTGGTATATTGGGAAGAATCCTCATACATACATCCTACTTCCCCACACCCAGGCAAGTTACATCAGGTTTAAGGTACTATTTGGACCTAACAACATTAACCACTACTGGTCCTGAGCGACTGGGGCACTGTGCCCACTCTCTTTCTATTAAAAGACCAATCTGTTCTAGACTCATACATGAAGTCCTACCTGGTTAAGTTGGTAAGAGATTCTGTCTTTAATGAGGAGTAGACTTTTCCCCACACACACTCTTTAACTCATTGCACTCCTATCCTGATGTCCTGGGGACAATTTACTTAAAGCTGAAGTTTTGGCTCATCTAGGTCTCCAAAAAAGAGGACAGAAGAATACTCAATGACAATGTGAATCAGGTATGAGACAGGTATTTGTTTCCTCCCCACAAAAGAAATACTAAGCAGAGAGCATTCACAGTAGCGTATTTCCAGAAAGACAAAATAAGATTTAGTAATTTATTATACTGAAAGTTACATTATATCATATCATATCATATCATATCATATTATGTCATGTTAAATTATGTTATGTTATGTCATGTCATGTTATGTTATATTACATTATATTACATTCAATTACATTTTATTTATTGATATGTTATGTTATATCATATCATATTACAGTTATCATACATTAGAACATAAAGTCTGCATGACTTTTGAATCAACGTTGTTTACATTTCCCCTAGAGTCTGCACTGTCCCCTCAAAGTCCATCTCTGTAGACCAGCCAAAGTCAGAGTCTTGTTCATGGAAAATCCAGGAGGTCAGTGTCACTGGATCAAATAGAATGTGTTGAGGAGTACTATGTAAGAAGACTGAAAAGGTAGAATAAGGCTAGGTCATGAAGGGCCTAAAATGAATGAATTTGTTATTCCTTGGGTTTTCTGCAAGAATTTGGTCTGTGGTTGGGTTATTTAGGAATAGTAAGCATCATGAATTATCACTGTTGCCCTGAGAACTTTTTTCTTCCAGTTTTCTTATTATATCAAACTCTATACCACAAGCAGTAAGTAGATGATTTGAAGAAGCTGGTGGACATAAAATTTTGGAGGCATTTTGTTCAGAGGTGATATTGAGGCCTTTTCTTCTCTGTTAAAATCCCACATTGTGTGGAAATGCCAACTTTTTCCTTGGCCACAAATAGTTCATCTGCCTAGGGAACTACTTGACAGAGAGAGCTGATGGCTTTGCAAATTTATAATTCCAGATCAATCTTTCATCATCATAACATTATTGTTCTTCTATAAATTCCAGGAAAAGATTGCTGATTCAAACTACTACCATTTAAAATAACAAACAGATCTGTTATGATGGAACCCCATAAAAATGCAATGTGCTCTTTTTTCCCCCAAAGAAGATACTGAATGTGTAGTGTGCCAGTGTGATAAAGTTTCAACTCAATCAACCAGTCTTCATTTATTAAGCAAACTACAATGGGCCGGGCTTTCCAGGGTCTAGGAATGAAGTCAGAGAGTGAGTTAGCATTTAAGCACTTACTATGTGCCAGGTACTTATGCTAACCTCTGGGGATACAAAGAAAGGCAAAAAGTCACCAACAAGAATTAAATAGTGTCTGTCTTCAAAGAACTCACATTCAGGTGCAATGGTTGCAGACAGTATTTCCTTGGTTGTATGTGTACCTTGTCCTTAATACATGGTGTTATAAGGGACCTCAGAGACACTTATGCTAAGAATAAGCAAACACCTACTTCACAGAAGTTGAAATGTGACCTTCTTAATACTCTATTTTTCCTAGGCTCCAGACTGGGATGGCCGCCTTTGGAAGCTCCAGGGCACTGTAGCCTGTATACACATTGGCCAAGTTATCATGTCAATTCAAACCAAGGTCCAGAATAAAGAACATGTGATTGAAGCTTTGCATAGAGCCAAGTTCAAGTTCTCTGGTCACCAGAAGATCCACATCTCCAAGAAACTGGGTTTCACCAAGTTCAATGCTGATGAGTTTGAGGATATGATAGCTGAGAAGCGTCTCATTCCTGATGGCTGTAGGGTTAAGTACTTCCGCAGCCAGAGGCCGTTGGACAAATGGCAGGCACTCCATTCATGAGGGGTGCATGCTGTGACATCTACCTTTCGCAGGCATAAATAAACTAGCTACTGCTACTTGAAAAAAAAAACTTACATTCCATCAGTGGAACCAGCTTGTACATGTACTATACTTTGCAGACCCATGATTTCATCTCTGTGTCTGCCTACGGGGATCTCATTTCCTCTGAGTTACAATTCTGGTCAGTCATTTAGAACACT